TCAAATCAATGAAAGAACAAGAAGGTGTCATAACACAGTGAAATGAATATTAAATGGCTATTATCATATTAAATCAATTCAGTTTGAGAGAGTTACTATATGCAAGAATATTATTTTTTACAACACTGGTGATTTGCAATAAAGTTTCCATTCCCATGTCAATCAAACTTATATTTGACTAATCACTGAATACTGAAATATGCGTTTGTAAAGTGGTTTTGTGTTCATCTAAAAATGTACGTGACTTCAAATGGGATGTTCATTGCATCACACTAGTTGCATGCCCATATCTAATAATTCCTTACCTCACTAACCCTCCCTCCCTCCCTCCACATGACTAAAGCCTTCTATTATGTGATTATTACCTGATGGTTTTGTGCTCACTATCAGGAGAAATTGCTTCACACGTAAATATTTCCAATAAAGATGAGGCGATAAAGGCCGGTGTTTCATCTGGAAATATGGCTTAAAAATAAAAATATGCTATAAATTATAAAGATGATAATCAAGTCAATTCATGTGATGATGTGAATAATGGCTTACATGTGCTTTTATTATAGATACACTTCTAATACGGTACATTTCACAAAACACTTTTATGGGATATTTACACATCAAAATAATATGTGGCATGCATTCATTTGGACCAAGTAAACAAAAGGTTTTGCTTCTTGTCCTCAGGAAAACTAAAAAATATCACAACAACAAGATACAAGTATGTTTAACATGGATTAAATGTTGATATGGATTGAACAAAAAATATCCTCAGAAACAGAAAACAGGCATTTCCCCATTCTACTGTGTGTGGCCGTCTTTATGAGTACGGTATGTAAAAATAAAAAAAAAATGAGCGAGACTCAAGTTTCAAACTGACATATATAATGACGAGAAGCAAAACTAATGGAAACACTTCATCTAGACTTATGAAAAAACAGATTGTGAGATCTATTTCAAGAGTTACTCATTTCTAATATAGTAAACTGATACAATTGGAACGATCACAAGAAATTTTATGAGAATACATTAGGGACAACATCAATAGTTCAATGTAAGATAAAAAACTTAATTCCTTTAGTTTTTTCCCACCAACCCCACCCCCACTGAAACTTAATTGATAAATATTTATCATGGCGTCAGCTAGACTACATTCATTATTAAATACAAATTGATAATCGGAAAGTAGTATGGCATAGCAGTTGGTTGTAATAATGAAGGGGAATATACGCATGCGCAAACTACTTTTCTAGGTCCATGCTGTGAAATTGACCTCATTTGACGCACATATTTACAATCAGACCAAACCATTTTCTCGTCTTGGATGTTTTTTTTTTCATTTTCTGTTATTTTTGTCTATGATTAGATAGAAAAAAAAAAACTACAAATACACCAAGATTTATTTTTACTTCATTAAAAAATAAAATCGTTTTTGTCAGATGGAAACTTTTTGAGTTCAAACCCCCCACCCCCAAACTAAAGCAAATAAGTTTTTTATCCGACATCAATCTTTGGACGTCGTCCCTTAGCAAATTTGACTGCCCACATTTAGCAATACATCAAATATTGACTTAAAAATCCCATAAAATGAACTTTACGTACATTTCCTCTGTAAAGACCGTGCCTTCGTATGGTAAAGAATAACAAGATAATGTAAATAGAGTAATTGACATGCCATGGTTTCCTTTCTTAGTTGATCGGTTGGTAAACAGTTATAAAGGTGATGTGAAATGTACAAGAGATGTCTACAGAGAAAATCAAAAATAAAATATTTATAATACAGAATATCAATAATACCATATTTAGAAATATCACAAATATCATGTTATGCAGTTACTCAATATACCATATTTGCTCTATTAGAAGCACATTTCAAATAGAGACAATCGTAAGGTTGTAATGGAAGTGTGCATATCATTTGTTTCAAATCACTCTAATCCGTACGTTTCTTTAATTTCTTCCGAAGTTTGTCCCTAAATAGACATAACTTCCTATTGGGAGATAAAAACTGAAATATCCAGATTGCCACCACAAACTAATTTGAACATAACCTTTAACAAAAATCATTTGCTGGATTTTAGTTATTTGAGTGTCAGTTTGAAGTTGAATATATTAAATGGCAGTGGTCATTGTGCTGCACATGTGCATGATATAAAAACATTCATTTTCCAACAATGCAATGTGTTTTCCTAATGGCAGGCACTAGTATTAGGGTTGATTTGTGCTTAAAATTATGACTTCTGGGAATATTTTTGTACATATGGAACCAATATCTCGCACATGCATGGTGCAACAACCACCACCCTTTAAAACCTCAAAACGACATAACAACATCAAAGTCAAAAATAGTTATGTATTAGTTCAAGGTGTTTTAATGATATAGTCAATAAAAATAAGACAAATCTAACCATAGAAGCAATCCATGATTAAAGTTTACATTTGATCGATGTCAAAGCATAAATACTGACAATAAAAATGAGACATACTTGGATTCTGACTTCTGGTTTTCAGTTGATGAAATCAGCTCGGTAGCCAACACTTTCAAGGATTCCATCTGGGTGTCAGATATGACTGAATTATTTATCAAGGAAAACTTGTTATTTTTTTCAATGAGTACATATCCTACAACTGACACTGCAACATAGTTAAAAAATGCAATAATATCACTCAATTGTATATAAACTAATGAGAAACATATCTGCACCATATTAGCTCTATTATTGTGAATTGTCTGTATTAGAAGCCAAATCCCTAGTAGAAGCCACACCCATTCTTCTTGAACAATTAAGACCCAGAAATGTATCATTTTTAATATGTGTAAATGCTCTAATAGAAACCACACCCCCTCTGTTGCATTGTACAATTTCAATACAAATGTTACAGTATTAGTTGTAGTACATCATGCGCTTATGTAAATGACAGAGGTGTGTCTAAGTTCATACAATAAATTCCTTTTTTCAATAGATGTGTGATACTTATGAAGATACTCTACTATATACAGTCAGTATATTTAGTTGAATAGAGAACCTGATCGGTTATCTGACAAAATGCAAAATGACGCCATCTTTTATAAGTAACTTCAAGCAAAACACATTGAAAAGATGCACAATTTGTGATGTACTGGAAGCCAGTGATTGTATCACAATTGCCTTTAACAAATAGAAAGGATACTATCCTGTAGTTTATAGACATCTTCTGGTTTTGTAGCTTTCGCATCAAATGGCGGTATAACACTTTCAGCTTCTTGGTCACCAGGAATTCTTGTTACTATTAAACAAATTTGAAAGCAATAATGTTGCCAGCTTGTATAATAATTGAATATATGATTTTCATATTTGAATATATGATTTTCAATTTTATTCAAAAAGGCACTAGAGAACAGAGGACCCCCCACAAGTTCACAGGATATCATTCTCTGTCTAAGTGGTGAATGAAATATTCAAAAAATAATATAACATGAAAACATGTTGCATAAAAATTGATACAGAGTGGCATAATGCATCTCAATAGAATTTGAGTCTTAATTGAATAATTATACTATATTTTTGAATTCCAATTATTAAAGAATACTGTGTAAGTGGCACAATTAAAAATGCAAAGAACTCAAAAAATTTTGCTCCTGGTGATTTAATTGGAAAAAATTGAAGGCAGTGCATGGGGACAACTAAAGATCAGAGAAATCACTGTAACACCCAGCCTAAATAAACAAAGTCTCTGTAACACCCAGACTAAATAAACAAAGTCACTGTAATACCCAGCTAAATGAACCCAAAGTGACTGTGACATTCATCCTAAATAACTACATGTACGCTGAAATTTTCATTGCTATGAAATTGTTTGAAATTCACAAACAAATTCTGAATAAAAAATATTAGTTTAAAAACAGAAAAATATAAAAAATACTTTGTTGTGACTGTGCTTTCGCTTGCTGAACAGCAGTTTCCATAGATTGTCCCAAAGCATCAACTTCAAGTTTACTATTCAGTCTGGATTCCACTGCACGTTTCTTCTTTGAGCTGCCAAATGCTTTGGTTAGTATATCATTCTGCAAAGCAAACATTTCAACATGTATACCTTCTGTTTTTATCAGAATTGGTGTGATTGTCATTATTTAAGCGGGATAACTCAAAAAGTTATAGAAAATTTTCATGAAATGTGTAGGATCCAATCAATTAGATGCTGGGAGAGATATGGATCTGATTGCCATGGAGACAGAAAGGTTTTTCTTCTTGGAGTGCCTTCTGGTATTATTCAATGTTACTATACACAAATAGAAGAAGTTTTTTTTATCATTGTTATTATTTCTCATATTGAAATGTACATAGGTTAATGTATACATCCCACCTTTTCAATAAAACTCAATTCAGGTTTTTCTTCGACATCATCTTCTTCGTTGTCAAGTTTAGGCCTCACAATAAAATACTGAGCATCGTAAACTTTCATTTTTCCAGTTTTTTTGTCTAACACACCCACCATATACCTGTAGAAAGAGTACTACATAGTAAGAACTAGAGCACCAGCAGAATATGGAAACATATTCTCATGATAAAATAATAAGCATGCACACAAACTACTAGTACTATAAAAAGAATGTTGGTTTATAGTCGTGAGCATTTCACTTGAGTCTAAAAGTCAATGCAATTTTGCAATCTGAGACTGAATCTGAATCCTTGCCTGAACCGGAGACTGATTCTGAGACAGAATCTGAAATTAAGACTTGAATCTCACATAGAATGTGAATGTTGGAATCTTACCCAGGAATTAAAGTGTATGGTTATATATGATACTGTGAAAGTACCCCTAGCTTATGGCAATATATGATACTGTGAAAGTACCCCTAGCTTATGCCATTATGTGCTACTGTGAAAGTACCCCTAGCTTATGGCAATATGTGATATTGTGAAAGTACCCCTAGTTTATGGCAATATGTGATATTGTGAAAGTACCCCTAGCTTATGGCAATATGTGATATTGTGAAAGTACCTCTAGCTTATGGCAATAAGTGATACTGGGAGAGTACCCCTAGCTTATGGCAATATGTGATATTGTGAAAGTACCCCTAGTTTATGGCAATATGTGATATTGTAAAAGTACCCCTAGCTTATGGCAATATGTGATATTGTGAAAGTACCCCTAGCTCATGGCAATATGTGATACTGTGAAAGTACCTCTAGCTTATGGCAATAAGTGATACTGGGAGAGTACCCCTAGCTTATGGCAATATGTGATATTGTGAAAGTACCCCTAGTTTATGGCAATATGTGATATTGTGAAAGTACCCCTAGCTTATGGCAATATGTGATATTGTGAAAGTACCCCTAGCTTATGGCAATAAGTGATATTGTGAAAGTACCCCTAGCTTATGGCAATATGTGATATTGTGAAAGTATTCCTAGCTTATGGCAATAAGTGATATTGTGAAAGTACCCCTAGCTTATGGCAATATGTGATATTGTGAAAGTATTCCTAGCTTATGGCAATATGTGATATTGTGAAAGTATTCCTAGCTTATGGCAATAAGTGATACTGTGAAAGTACCCCTAGCTCATGGCAATATGTGATATTGTGAAAGTACCCCTAGCTTATGGCAATAAGTGATACTGTGAAAGTACCCCTAGCTCATGGCAATATGTGATACTGTGAAAGTACCCCTAGTTTATGGCAATATGTGATACTGTGAAAGTACCCCTAGCTCTTGGCAATATGTGATACCTTACACCTAGCTTTATTAATTTCTTGTTCCTAATAAGGAAGTATGTAACTGCATCAATGGCTGACAAAGTGATAGAATGTTCAACTAACTTGCAAAGTGCGTTGCTTTGTGATGCTTTCAGGCCATAATTGTAGCCTACATAGTCCATTTTATCAGTTTCCCCAACCTGAAAGTAAAAATAACCAATATCAATATAAGCTTGGTAGTAAGATACAATGGAACTGTAAACTAAATATATTATACAACAAATGACTTAATCAACTTACCAGAATTCTCTTGTTCTTGTCCCTGGGGTCATGAAAGTTTTTATTGCAATAATAACCAAATTTTGGAGCTTTTGTACATGTACCATCCTCATCAATATTTAACCTTCCATTTGTGAAATGGGCTGTGGATGAAATGAAACCTTCATTTTATTAATAATGAGCTAAATTATGTTCAATTTTAGGCCTATGTAACTTCTAATACAGGTACCCAATTAGTTCCCTAACTATGTTGTGGGGAGTATTCTTTTGAAAACAACTCCCGCAGTGTGCCCTCTAATAGAGCTGATTAGGTCAAAAAAAAAATTGTTTTGTTGCCCTCATATATATATTTTTTTTTTTTCAAATGACCCAAATATTAAAAACTCACCATTTTAAGCAGTAAAAAAGTGTTTCCTCTAAAAATTAACGATCCTGGGCCGTTGTTTGATCCCCAGGAGGATAAGTGGCGACTTTGAACCTCAGGTTGATCTGTATTTCTCTGACATGTTCCGAATACTATGAAGTCCATATACCTCGGCTATTTACGATACCCTTAGTTTTCATGAGTTTAAAAGGAAAAAAAAAAGTTTGACCGACCGACCCAATTTTTCAATTTTACGACTTGAGGGCAACATAAGTTTTTTTTTTTGGCCTTATGTAGGACTCCTGTTTTGAAATTAAATTGCTAAAAATCAGTCAGCTTGTTAGGAAGGTGGGTTAAAATTGTGTATGAATGTAAGCACAACAAATTTTACTCAGTCATGTTTTGTCTTATTGACTTGTTACAATTGTTTAAATAAGCACTTTGTGCTCTTTTCCTATTTTTGTCCAAAAAGTGTATGAATATTTATCTTTAGCTACAGTTTCGATTTGACTATATCCAAGCATTTAAATACAGGCAAGATCATAAAAGTCTATAGTACAATGGTCCTGCAGCACAGAATCTATTCCATTGTGTAACCTTTATTGTTTTCTCATCTGTTTTCAGTTGAAATGATTTTTTCTATTTGTTATGTAACCATTTAAATTCCTCAGCGTGACTATATGTGTTCTGGTACCAAGATTTGTTACACTATGTACCAAATATGCTAATATTGTTAACGAGGTTATGATCTAATTGTATCTCATGAATATTATTTTACGTCCAATTAATAATTGAAGGCATTTATCATACATGTATACCACAGCAGTCACATATTTTTGGTTTTGACTTGCAGACAGTGTGTTATGGTTGTTATACTGAACACGCTTCCTATCACACTAAACTGGTTACTAGATTTAACAAGTCTGTTTGCTTTTTATGCTGGTGAAGACTTGCATACAGTCTCTTGTTTATTTTTTGTTGTTTTTTCTATAAAAAAATATGTTATGAGAGTGTAAAAACGGCGAAAACTGAGTTATCGCAAAAGTCGGTTACCACCGAATGGACAAGGGATTTGTGACCCCTGCAAGACTTCCCTTGCTAGTATTATTAATGAGCGTTTCAGTGACATCACGCATTGGGGTAATTTACATATTGTATGATTTGATGGGTGGAGCATGAATATATATAAGTTTACATTCTTTCAAGATGGCTGTGAATGGTGGGCAAGCTCGATCACTCGCCGATAAAAATACAACTGTTGTATCGCCAGATACAAGTCAGAAATATAGACCGGTTATGGAAAAGGAAACTTTCGGGGCTGCCAAATACATAATTGAACTTTCCGGCTTTCATGTCGTCAATATGAACCTTGTTGCCTCTGATGTAGACACATTTCAGTACACTTTCCGTAATATTCTGTACTCTACCAGTGGAGATACAATGATAAAATTCTTGTTAAGTAATCCAGGCAGAAAGGCGCAATTTGGAAAGTTAGGGACTTTCGTTGTAACTCTGCTTGAAAAAATAAACGAGGGACTGTATGCAAGTCTAATGCGAGTTGAATAAACAGTCTTTGAAATTCTATAGCGCCATCAACGTTGGCCTTCTTCGGCTCTAAGCATGGAGCATTGTATATTTCTGAAATAAACATAACCAATAAAAACAAGCGCCACTTCCCGCGGTGTTAAGTTTTATGTGCAGACTACTAAACATTTTATTACTTTGACCGATTACATGTTTCCAGCAAACAATTTCTTGCTTTCACTCGAATATCCAATCTGTGTCTTTGTCAGTCAGTTTCTGTATTTCGCTAGCGATTTGGCATGTTTCGCCTCTTCCAAGACGCCGCTTCGTCTTGTCATGGTCTTGTATAGTGAAATATTGTTTGCAATGTTATGAACTGATAAGCAATACGCTAGCTGTACAGCAATGTTGTTATCAACATTACAACAATGCCCAGTTGTTTAATTTTGACATGAATGTAAATCGATTGTCTAGCTGGTGACATATCAAAGGAATTTGGTGTCTTAAGTACTTGTGATAGAAAAAGACATAAATCTCACCCAAAACAGCTTCTTTTTGTGGCTCATCTCCGGAAGGCATGTATTCCATGGAAGCTGCCATTTTGCCACCATTACAATCACAAATTCAAACAACAAGCTAATTGATTGGTTGCAAGTTATGGCAACACGAGAAGTAGACCAATCATCACGCAGATAAGAAACACTGTAGTGCTCTGAGCCCGGCCATGTATTTCCGGGTCATGTAAGGATTTATAAATAATAAATGTATCACGTGGTAGATCACGTGTTGTTGAATATTGATATCGATATTTACGGTCAATCCTTTTTCATGCTAAAGAAGTATTGATCGGGATCGTCCAACCTGTCTGTACACACCGATGCTATCCAGATTGTGTTAACATTGATGACATTTCTTGTTTCGACGGTCGCGGTCGGATTGGAAATATCACAACGTGTCGTGTCATCTGCTAATATTAATAATTCCCGCGTAAAATAACGTGTATTTGTTTTCCCTGTCGTAATTATCGACATTATTTAATGTGTGTCCTTTGCGTGTCCGTGACAGCCGACAACTGAAAGCGGATTTTTGGAAATCGTTCACCAGTGGCGTGTACAGGAGGATTTGCATCTCTTTCAACATCCAACAAGGATCGACATCATCACTTTCACGTCGATCGGAAAGGCAGCAAATCCGAGTTTCCAATACAGCAATGACTGAAATAAATGAAGAAGATTTTAAAGAATTGAAAAGTCGTTTACAAGTGAGTCTCTTTTCGTAGTTATTATTGTGAAATACACGATTCGATCTGCCGCCCACGCAACAAAAAATATTGATATACTGGGACAGAAAATCTACAGGTGCTAGGTCGTGTCTAAAAAAATAGTAGATTATGGCCATTTATAAAACGTAGGTGCTCAGTGTTGTTATTTTTTTCAATGAAAACGATGCATCTATGAGCATATTTTCGAAGGATACGTATAATATGTTTTGCGTATTGTATTCGCAGACCTAACGTTCCCTATTATTCATCCCCAATGGGGGAGGCCGAGAACGTATGTTCACAGTTTCACACAAATGGATGGCATATGCGGGTCAGATGCAAATATGCGGCTCTTACAAAAAAGTCTAAAGCAAGAGTTAAATTGGCTTAGGCTTGTTTTAAAGTGTGGGTTAATTAATTTTGTGCTGTAGGAGGTTCTCATATGAACCATTATTATTTATACAATTTTACAACCTTCAAAACAATTGTCTGTATTTTAAAATGTGGATAGTTTGTAATACATGTGTAAAATATATGTACATAGATTGGTCCTCAGTAAGTTTTGTTATTATAAAAACAATTGCAGTGTTTTCCGCTTTAGTAAAACAACAGGAGGAAAGATGAACAAAATAAAACAGAAATCTGATGGAAATTGATGGAAGTAGGAGCATAATTACACATGATGGTAACATGACAGGACTTCCCGAATTATGAACTGGCTGTCAGAGACTAATAAGGGGAATGAGAAAAATAAACACAAACAAAAACTTTCAAATAGCAGAATTTTTGCAACCTGATGGTTGATTTCAGGGATTTCAGGAGGACCACATTTGAAGGTTGTCGTGACCATGGCTCAACAACCCTGATGAAATATTCACTACCACAAAAGTCACTGACTCAAAAGGCATAGAGCATTTTAGAGTACTTTTCACACACATACAAAACATCCATGAAAAATGATTGAGCAAACCATCTTTTGGCTTATAATATCTCAAAATATTGTTTGATACCATCTAAACAAGTATCCAGATGGGTACTTATGAATATAATTAATTGTTCATGATATATTGATTTAAACATAAGGTTCTGTAGTTGTCCATTTTCCCATTTTTTTCTGACAGTTTTACTTGAACAAATTTTGTTTTATCTAATTCATAGGTTGAATGACCACAAGCAACCTTTAATAATATATCAATATTTAGTCACACAACAAATACAACCAGTTTAAATCTCTGTACTATTTACAATACATTTTGATCTGACCAGTGTACACGCTTTCTAATTCACAGGTGGATGAAATCTGTCCTAGAATTTAGAAAAAAAGAAAAATATCAATCATAAAATAGAAATAACAAGATTTTTAATAGTTACTCATAACATGGAAATTTTGTTTTGGTGATAATTTGTGTGCCTTGAACACATATTTTAAAGTGTGATATATATTTATTTTTTAAATTGTATTTTAACATGACACCTATAATTAATGCATACTGTGTGTGTTTCCACTCAAAACAAAATTACCGTTAGTGTCCCAACTTTTAATTAGCAACTATTGTAGTAAATAATTAATTAGAAAGTCTAGCTGTTTTTATATGCGTGTAAGAAACTACAATTGTACATTCAGACATGTACCAGCATTTTAAGCTTTCAACATACAAACCTGCATCGTGAGAAGAATTATATTTAGCACTTTTAACAAAGTCATATTTTCACCAAAAATACCTGTGCTATTGTTGTTTTATGATAGAAGTCGTACATCATCCATCTGCTCAGGCATGTAATCTCTAAAAAAAAATTCTGTTTACCAGCATATTTTTTGTACAATTAAACATTTATTTTTTTTTTTTTTTGAGAATTATTAATTAATCATCAGTTAATTCACTTTTATAATATCTTTTTTTTGGCGAAGATAGTGAATAAGTAAGAGGCTTAAAAATAACCAAGTGTCTTTTAAAACTGACTTTAAACTAGACAGTTGTCTTCCCTTAACATCAAAACGCAATTTATATTTCAGTATGTGTACCGGTATTATGATGAGCCACTATCAAATTCTAACATGTAAGATAATGGGCATGTTAATGGACAGGCCTGCTTTACCCTATGCTTATTTAATAACCAACTTAATGGGTAATTTTTTTAACAGTTTTAAAACAAAACTTGCTTTCAATCATTATTAAAGATTTATTGCACCAATTGTGTTTCTTACTTAATGTTTTGTTGATAATAATTGTTACCATGGCCTTATATGGAGTGTCTGTGAAAAGATAATACCTCATTATTCACATGTTGGCTACTTTGTGTTTTTTAGGGAGAAAACAAATTGGTTATATGACTCTGACTAAACCAGAAAGTGCATTTTAGCTTCATTGAATTACTGTAGAATACTTTATTTTCGCTTGGAATTTATTTTCGCTATTTTCGCTGAAGGGATGATTCCGTGAAAATAAAATCCAGCGAATATACTTTTTTTCTTATATTTCCCATTAAACACATCAAAAATCAGTGAAAATAAATTCCATACAAAACGCCCAAAAAGCCTTTTCAGCGAAAATTAATTCCAGCGAAAATAAAGTATTCCACAGTATATATTTATTTTGTACACAAAACTACACAGCTATGACCGTCAATGAGATGATCCTGTGCTGTTATGTGTTTTAAATGTTTGGTTCTAGATAGAAATGCTTCTCAAATAATTGCAACAAAATTAAAAAAAAAATTATTGTGGAATTTTGAATCAAATGAAATATTTAAATAATATTTATATGTTTATTGGATTAATTTTCTGTTTACTTATTTACTTACTTAGTGAATTATAAAGACAATAGACAGATTAGTTGTTTAAACAACATGAACAATACTCTCCCATGATTCCTATAGTATCCCACAGGGATTGAGGAACTGCAATTTAACTTATAAACCCACTAGTCAGAAATGTACATTGCCGACATGTGTATATATTATTAAGTCTGTTGTGGCATGTGAGTGACTATTCAGTTGTCAAAATGGCAAATTTACTTGTCCCAGGCTATAATACTACCCACCGTGTCAATACCTAGATCATTATGGCACAGGTGGCAAAAATGGCATGTGTCATTTCTTTTGATGGTTCCAGCTCTTTCTTCATATCAAGAAATTTTATTTGTTGATTAAATATAAGTTAAAGAGCATGGTTGTTGAATTTTTTATTTTACAAACACACACATTGCATGTGATCCATATTAAACATGGTGCACTGCTGTAAACATTTAAAAATGTTTTAATTTACATAGCTTTGTATACAAATTGCATGCTCAGTGATCTATTCAGCATATGAAAACTGGTGGATTTCTCTATACAGAATAATTGAACCCTTTTAATTTGGTACAATTCACATGACCACTCATTCATGACATCATAATCAGCTATTCTCTGTAACCCAATTATAAGATAATTATATTTTTGTTTTTTAATTGCCATGTGTTCATGTAAAACAGTAAAAGTGCCACTGCTTGAGATCTGGATCTTGTTTCCATAGATACAAGAATTTTTGTAAGGACTCTTCACCATTGCCAGATCAGACCATTGTCTAGTGTGAGCAGGATAATAAACTCAAAAAGTTATCAACAAATTTCATCACATTTTGATTAGATTTTTGGAAAAAGCTGAAACCAGTTGCCATGGAGATATCGATATAGAATCTTCATTTACAACTAAAAAAACAAACAACAAATTTTGTTTTTGCAAATTTGTATGAAAAGTTTTTGTGTACAGGAGGTCATGCATGTACTAGTATGTAATTTAGATATATAGTAGATGATGGTACTCTTCAACAGTCTCTCAAATATTGAAATATTCTGGTAATATATCAAGTCATATTAAATAACAATATTTTTGTTTTTCATTTTCATTTTCACAGCTTATATTTGATGCTGATCCAGATCAGGTAATTTAAATTTGAATTCTACTTTGCCTTTGTTATTTAATTAAAGTGGGGGAGTCACCTGCCGCATATGAGAAACAACCATAGTGGGTCATTGTTTACAAATATGCATCTACCCATGAACCTTTGCATTTTTAGAGTGTATTGTTATCATTGTCACTTGGAACTCAATTTCTCTGCTTCAAGAAACCCTTTTTAATAGTCATTATTGTTATGCTATCTGGTACAATAAATATAATCTACAAATATGTACAGTTTATTCATAATAATAAGAATTACACCTGTTAATTATAATAATTGTTTTAACAGGGTCTGTATCTAATATATATCCTGAATGTATATATTGATAATAATAGTAAATATATTAATATCATTTGGTAGTTTATGTAAATACTATGAAAATAATATAATTTCAAATTAAATCTGACTATTTTGGTATTAAATTTGAATAATGTAATATAATAAAAGTGAATAATATATTGATAACAGGTAAAACAATATAATTTAATAGTATAGCAGTAAATGTAAATATGTTTTGATAACCATAGTTATATAGGCCAGTTAAATACATTTTACACATATCAATATGTTTTATTCATATTATCCGTGGTGATTATGAATATTCTAACTGAATCATTTAATGCTTAATGTTACCTGAATTATCCGGTAGGTCTTAAAAGAAAAAAGGTAGCTGCATGGTGTATCAGTTTTATATTTTGTCCGTGTCAAGTATGAAAACAGGCACTACCAGTAGTAATAATGGTGATCTCATTCACAGAAATATCTCAGATTAGCAGCAGCCATGTAAAATTTGCTTAGATTCTATTTGCAACAATATCTTTTAGCAGAGACAACTCATTCATTCAAGCATTGTGATTTGGCAAATATTTACATTTTGGATTGCAGGTGCTCCTTATTTGTTTTGTTTTTTTCTATATCATATTTGCCAATTCTTTTTCCAATCAGTACAAATCACTATGGGATACATGGATATGAATCTATTATTTTTAATTTTTTGTGGGCTTTTATGTTTGAAGGCCCAATTGCCTTAATATGCCCTATTAAACCTTGCAAATGATCAGACTGTGTTCTTTCATTTGTCACTGCCTGGCAGCTAACCACATAAAACACTGTGATCATTCCCAATGCATGCTTCATCCTACTGATACCATAAACGGCATATCTGTCCCTGCCTTGTGTGATGGTGGCACACTCTGTAATAACCATTATGTATGAATGTAGAGTTATTTGAGATAATTTCAATCTGTGACCTCTGGTGTCATATGTTTGTAATGATAATTAAGTAAATTTATGTGCGTCCACAGCTGTGTACAATAATCCTGTGTATTGTCACAGTTCTGGTTTTTTATACCACTTTGATACAACCTTGGGTCACTGAGTGATACAAAACATACAGGCATGCAACAAAAATTAAAGTTACTTTATTTTTCTGCAAAATACAAATATTTAAATCATGATCGTGAAATATTCTTAAGAGACTCAAAATATTTAATCAGGTTTCATATGATAGAAATTTACTGGGGAGGGGGGTGTAATAATGTTGTGCCAAGCTACATAAAAAAAACTATTGAATACAAGCCAATTAATCCTATTATGCTAAGCAGGAGGTTCTACAAAAACCAAATAAATGGAGACTATGCTGATTTTTAAATTTTCAGTAGATTTAATTAACACACTCTGCTTAATTATGAACAAGAAAAATCCAAAAAATATTTTGAGAACAAGTATTCATACGCTGATTGTATGGATACAAGTCACTGGTTTCACTTTGCACCCTAATGTTCATTTCATACTGCTTGCGTACATCAACAGGTCAACACAATATCTTTAAGTCAATCTCGTTGTTCTCGTTGTTCTCGCTGGTGATTATATGTACAGCAGACTGATTGTCGCCCTGGAATAATACCCAAATACTTACACCAATTAACTGTCTGTCCACAAAGATAATGCATAATTCTTCTTCCTGTTCTTTCTCACCAATGACTAAACAATTGTTATACATTATCGTTAATCAACCAATAATGCATGTTACTTCTTATCACTGGAATGTGTACTATGAAATAAAGTTTCATGTATCGCGTCTATTCGATGCGTAATAAGTTATATTAATCACTATACATCTAGTATCGAAAATGATAGAATTTGCCGTTCCAAAATTGGCAGCCATTTTGTTGTCCTCCATCTTTTCTCCGACAGCGTCAAATTTGTTATGAAGGCAAGACATAATGGGTTCATGTACGTGCCAATTGTCTTTGTATCAATGAATTTTCCTTTACATTATTTCTTCTCATTTCTGTGTCCTCAATTCAAATGCATCCCAAATACAGATGGGACACTGTCATCAACAATTTCTTGTTCATTACATATGACGTATGTTATTTCATGATGACGTACACAGATGACATTGCTCTTTTGTTTTATTACAGTTTCATTCCGATTCATCTCTTAAAAGATTTCTCAGAGCGTTTATTACCGTAGACTCAGCATTTACGTCTGTTCTTAAATGCAATAAATGGAGACGTGAATTTGGAGTAGAAAGCCTAACATCTGATAATGAAGAAATACAGACCCAACTTGCCACTGGTGTGGGAAAAATTTTACCACACCGGGATATCGAAGGAAGGTAAAATCTTTTGCTTTTGTTAAGAAACTTGCAGGAAAAATTACAATATACAGTATTAAAAGTGCTCTATTTTCACTTGAATCTCATTTTCGCTGAAGGGATTGAGTGAAAATACCCTTTTTTACTATATTTCAAATTCAACTCATCAAAAATAATTGAAAATAAACTTCATACAAAACAGCCAAATGTATAATTAAAAAAAATTAAATAAAATAACTAAAAAATAAAATAAAATATTTTACAGGTTCTGTCATCCATACATATAACCTGTAGAATCGTGTTATATAGTGTACTGTGATGAGTGCATTGTTGGTAGAAATAACACGTCTGTACTTTTCATATTTTGCTTGTCTCATGCAAGCCAACTGATTGGAAATAAACATACCCTTTCGGCATGCAATAACTGTGAAGCTTGAAACATATTAGCACCATATGGTAGCATTACACAGTTACCATGGTAACTGACTTATATTAGTTGACATTTCTATTGTATCCATCTGCCCTCCATAATTTGATTTTGGATTAAATTTTGCATCCCAATGTTAGGAGGCAACCCCCTTAGAGTATTGTTTACTTAGCTATTGTAAGATTCTGTATGCTTCATTGAATGCAGTGTTTGTATGTGTGCATGGATGGATGGAATCTAAATTAAATCCTGTCACTTGCTGTCAGGACTAAACTTTTTGTCTTGTTAGAGTATAACATTAACAAATTTCCTGATTTTTTCTGAGAAAAATCTGAATATTTGTAGAAATGAAAATTCATGTGCATCATAGTGATTTCCGTGAATACCCATAAAATCCTGCCAATGATAAAATAAAGGATTACCTTCTTTATGTTTGAATACTAGTAATTGTCACTATTCAAACTCTAAGATGCTGCTGTATTGCAGGGTTAAGCAGGGTCAATTCTTTATACTTATCAGTCTTTCCTCACATGAACAAATTGCATGATGAGATAAAACTGTTCACTTTTATGGTCCCTTCAGATTTATATACCTCTATAACAGAACACTTGTGAACCACATTTATATTTAGATTGTACAGAAAGTTTCTTTGTGTGATGATGTATATAAATGTTTTATTTCGAGGCGTAAGGGTAATTCACAAATCACCAATCGGGAATTAACTAATCAGGCGTAATGTGGATTATATATAGTAATAATAAATAAACAATAATAATAAGGTATTGGCTTAAAATATGTTTGTAATAGTTTTGTCATGAGAATATCATATTTTTAGTCCCCGTTTGGACGCAGTATGAAAATGGGGACTTATGTTTTGACTTCTGTGTGTCCGTGCTTCCGTCCGTGCATGTGACCGTGCTTCCGGACCTGTATCTTAAAAATGCCTGAACCAATCACAATCAAACTTTACACATACATCATACATCATATTATACATATGCACATCAATTTGTTTCACGATCTGATTCAAGATGGCCGAATTGCAGCCATTTTTGTTCTAAAAATCATCAAAATCAACCGATGGATTTTGTTCAAACTTGGTATATACATTGGACATTATAGGACCTTGATGCACATCAAGATTCAAAATGGCCGACTGGGGGCCATTTTGTTTTAATAAATGTGGTTATAGTGCCATATCTCTCTCTATATACAGATATATTGGTTTGACGATCCTATTAAAAATGGCCGAATGGTGGTCATTTTTGTGCTAAAAAAATTATCAAAATCAAGCATTTCTCGGCTATTTTGTTCAAACTTGGTATATATGTTGGACATTATAGAACCTTGATGCACATCATTTTGTTTTTCAGATAAGATTCAAAATTTCAAAATGGCCGACTGGTGGTTCTAGTACCATATCTCTGACTTGCTGTGACATGTATTCAAAATGGCTGTTCCAGAGCAATATCTCTCAATACTCGTTTGACGATCAGATACAAATGTCAATCTTTTAAATGTTAAACAATCATCATATTCCTGACATGTTTATATTCCAGCTATATTACTATAAACAAAACTATATATCTTAAATTCGATAACTAATGGTATAGTGCAAGGCCTGTTTTGAAGCATTTAGAAAAGAATAATTGAGTATATTAAATATAGTGGTGAATATCAGACTGCACACCCCTGTTCCTTACAAATGACAGTAATATTTAAAAAAATAGTTGCATTATTAATGATCCACATTTTGTCTTTGATCAGTTGACCCATGTTTAGTGAATTTGTGATTCATGAATTGCCCTAAACCCTATTTCCCGGCCTGTTTCAGTGGACATCTTTCATATTTTCGAGATATTACCATGACGTATGATACTTAAAATTGGTACAGATATTCTCATTATTATTATTATGACTTATTTATATACATTCATTTCAGGCCTATTGTTTTAATTACTGGTAAATTACACAATGCATATGAAAGAGACGTGGATGTGCTAACAAGATTTACTGTTTACCTATTGGTAGGTCAAGTTTCAGATTATTTTTCTGTGATTGAAATTGAACAATGCTACCTTGCACAGAGTGACAGAGCTAAATAATATTAGATGCAAGTTAAAAAAAAGCTACTACTGTAAAAACTTGATTAATTCGCGGTCCCTATTAATTCGCGCACCCCTTTTATTTTCGAACGTGTCGTTCAAAAACATGTTTAAAATTGTATCCTATTAATTCGCGGGCCAGAATAAAGTGGATAGTTCAGAATATATTGCATGAAGACATTAAAAAAATACATTTTGTTTGAGTTTTTATGTTATCAGTACTTGGTGTTGCCATGGTGTAGCTGCAATCGCGGACTATCTACGTCATCACAGCCTTTCAGTTAGCTCAGACCACTAGATTTGACCTGAAAAAAATTATTACTTAGTCGATAATTATCCATCGGTCAGCACATTGATTGCGAATTTCCGTGATGGAAAGCTTAGTACAGGGCTTTTCGTCGCTGGTCCACAGGGTTGCATCGACGTAACCGCCCTATGGTGCGTAAATTGATGTTTTTGATTGGTCGGGCGATTGACTTTGTGTCACATTTTCATTATACCGGATTCGGTAAAAACACAGAGTTAAGCGGTCATGTACGTTCTATAAATCTAACCTTGCACACATATTCTTGTACTGACGTGTTTTTTGTCCAAAAAAGACGTTCCCTTTCATTCAACCCCCAGTTAACTCTTCGCGTTCATGGTATTTGTGAGAGTTGAAAAGTTTTTTGAGCAAATGACAAGTAACTATATTGATTTGCGTCAGGCTGGGTGGTCCGAATTTAAATATCAGTGCATGAACTCTGGAGGTCATTGCCCAATGATGCACGTACCGGTAATTCAAATGCGTGGTTGTTAGAGCTCAGTCAAAATGTACGTGAATAATGCGATCGAAGTCTGCTACCCAGAGTTTATTATATTATAGTAAAATTTAATTTGATGTATGATATGTTTATGTTTGCGTAATTATTACGAATGCAATGCATTATCAAGTCCGTGATATTGAAATATTCACAGACCCAATACCCCAGGTCAGTGCCCTAACAATAGTTCCAAAAAAACTAATTATCATGAAAGCAATACATTGCGAAGTTGAAATATTCAGAGTCGGTACAATATTGTAAACAAGTTTGCGTAATCAGAACAGCAGTGCACTAAGTAAATGACGTTGATATATTCAAAGCCAGTACAGAGTTGGATACAGTATCGTCGGATATAATAACAGTTGTATAGGCGCGGGGCACGAAAGAAAAAGGTTGCTAAGGTAACGCGCCAGTTCAGTGCGTGACTTGGAGTCAAACTTCGGTCAACACACACTTGATGTCAGCATCGTCGCGCAGCAAGTTTCGCAAAGAAGTACTCGAGTTCAATTGTGTCCCAAAATGATGTCGCTGATCACTCAGTTGTCGCAGCGTGTGTTGTGTCATGTCCATGATGCACCCAGTTTCGACTTTGACTTGCTTTCCTTCTTTATAGTGCATGTTCTTGTTCACGTAAAATGCGACCTTTCACCAATATATATAAAACTTTGAATTTATACTTTGCATGATTATATTTGGTCAACGCGAAACATTTTTTCTAAAGATTTTCTGAGACCATTTTTAGCAATGCGGGGTTACTTTTCCAGACAAGATGGGCTTCGTAATATCTGCCATAACATCGCCCGGGCGATCTTTTGGTCCACATTTTTTTTAAAAAAAAATCGAATCCTCCATAAGATCGCCCAGAGCGGGGTATCAGCCGAATCCGGTAGATGAAAGTGCTTGACAAAAAAAAAAACAATCATGTAAGCAATGAACACATGGCTACAAAAATGCAATCAATGGGGCAGAAGACCACCTTATCCAAAGCAACACTGAAATAGCAGAAATCATTGCCGATCTCCTTTTAAACGACGACGACAACGAAGATGGTGATTGGTTTGACAGCTTCACTGCCGGCGACCTGTTGAACAATTAATAATTTGTGTCTGACGGTACTGCCAGTGGCAGTGCAGCCAGGCGGCTACTTTGTAGCCACGTGTTCATTGTTTGTTTGAGTACAGAGTGACCTTTGCCATTTCACTGTGCCATTTCATGTGTAACATGGTGCGTGGTCTGACGCAGTGCGTGTTCTCTGCCCAACTATATTTCATGATTGTCGCTAGCCACGAGTCTCAGAGGCACTAAAACAATGTCCTGTCATCGTGTTCATTGGAAAACAAAACAAATCATTAATAAATTTATGAAAACAACTCTTTTTTGAATCGATCTTAAAGTACTCTATTAATTCGCGCACTTGAAAAAATAATTATTTTTACTACCGCGAATTAATCGAGTAATATAGATTTCCATCACTACAATTGGTTGGTTCTTGAGAAAAAAATCGTGACTATATTTTCCCATTTTTCTGACACCCCATTACATTGTAACCACACACCTTTGTCATGTTGTGCATGCTCTACTAATAGAGTAAATTCGGTATTGTGAATGATTGCCATATCCAAATAGTTGCTTTCTCTATAGTTTTAAAATTAGGAATTCCTAGATGAACTCTGGTACCAATATGATCTCTGGGGGACTTTATAAAATAATACATGTTCTTATTGTAGTGGTGTGGTGCTTCTTTACCCTGTGTACTGAAATTATAAAAGTTTAATGTATAGTTCATTTTAATTTTCAGGAAACAGCATCAAAAAAATGTAACGAGGACGTGATAGATAATTTATGCGTAATATTTGATTTGAGAGACTTTGGTATGGCTAATATGGACTATCAGTTCGTGAAGAATCTTATATGGCTATTAACAAAGTACTATCCGGAACGCCTCGGTGTTTGTCTTATTATTAATGCACCTGTTATGTTTTGGGGATGTTGGCAAGTCATACGACCATGGTGAGTTTAATCTGTTTGGTTCATGTGATTGAATAATGGGAGGGTCTGCAAATTAATGGATAATATCTAGATCACATTGGTTCCTCTGTAGTACCGTAAAATCTGTATTAGAAGCCGCATCCCTAATAGAAGTCGCACCCATTCTTTTTGAATAATTGAGAACCAAACATTCACAATTTCTCATATGTGTAGATGCTCTAATAGAAGCGGCATCCCTTCTGTTGCATTGTACCATTTTAATAGAAGCATCAAATACAGATTTTACAGTACCTCAAATTTGAATTCATAAAATGTGATATAAATGCACCTGCTGTATATTTGTTTCTGCGTTTTTTTTGTCTAGAACAGGATGGTATGGTGTGTAGGATTATCTTGATATATGTTTGTCACATATAAAGGATATAAAAGGACATGCCCTTATTTTATTATAATCCTTTGGTTTCAGAGATAAGTCTTGACCTTTAAACCCACTGCTTACACACTGTTATCACATTACTCATGGTAGAATACCACTTTTACATTCTTGACATGTGCCGATATAGCAGTGAAAAAAATGTTGGGACATTGAGATATATCATACGAAATTTTGGACACTAATTATCTCTAAACTGAGTATGATAACTTTATATTTTTATTCTATTTTCTTCATCATTGCTACATGATGAAATTTCACATTTGGAAATGAAGAAAATGACTATAAAATAGCATTCTACCTTGAGCTACTTGAATGAAAATGTATATCTATAAATTGCAGCAACAATTAGACACCATTTGGATTTGAATTTAATTTGGTAACTTGGTACCAAATGCCTGTGTAGTAGAATGTAAATAATTATGTTAGACACCTTCTGCATATTAATCTACTGGTTTGAATAATTGAAAAATGATACTACATAACAAAAACACCATATCAATGGTGAAAACTGGAAATAACCATGTCATGTCAATGTTGTTGAATATATCATATATATTGTAGTAAATGGAGCAAGTACTTAGATCTTCTCAGAAACAACACATCATTATATTGCAAGGTGATGCATGGTCAATTTTCATTTTTCTTCTTCACAGGTTACATGACTTCACAGCAAGTAAAGTGGTATTCATTAATGGAGCAGAACATCTATCACAATTTCTCTGTCCTGATATTTTACCTAAAGATGTTATCGTCTCAACAGTTGCAAACAATGAGGAGCAACAACAATAGCTTAGTGTGTTAGGGATTCATCCATTTCATTGGTGTTTCTTACTGTGTAACCAGCCAATCACTGCCTAGAGATGGCGGCCCTCAGCTTGTTAATTAACAACAAACTAGGGATTCTTTTAGAATTCATCCATTTCATTGGTGTTTCTTACTGTGTAACCAGCCAATCACTGCCTAGAGATGGCGGCCCTCAGCTTGTTAATTAACAACAAACTAGGGATTCTTTTAGAATTCATCCATTTCATTGGTGTTTCTTACTGTGTAACCAGCCAATCACTGCCTAGAGATGGCGGCCCTCAGCTTGTTAATTAACAACAAACTAGGGATTCTTTTAGAATTCATCCATTTCATTGGTGTTTCTTACTGTGTAACCAGCCAATCACTGCCTAGAGATGGCGGTTCTCAGCTTGTTAATTAACAACAAACTAGGGAGTCTTTTAAGATTCATTCATTTTATTGGTGTTTCTTGCTGTGTAACCAGCCAATCACTGCCTAGAGATGGCGCTCCTCAGCTTGTTAATTAACAACAAACTAGGGAGTCTTTTAAAAATTCATTCATTTCATTGGTGTTTCTTGCTGTGTAACCAGCCAATCATTGGCTATATAGATGGTGGTCCTCAGCATATTAATTTAAAATTTTCATATTTATTAATGTATCTTTAAAAAAAAAGTATACAGTTTATTGCTGTGTGCACAAACTTATTTATTCAGATTTAGAATTTAGTTCTTTGTGTGTGCTTAGAATAGTATGTTAGTGTCGTTAGTGTCATTATAAGTGAGGGCGCTCATTCTAAGGTTATGACAGTGAGGTCGCATATTCTAAGGTTATGCCAGTGAGGTTTGCTGGTTCCTTGCCTCCTTTGCGACTGGCAAGTACAGCACAGGTAACTAGTAATATTATTCTACTGGGCCAGGATTATGGCCCTGAATTCATGTGATCAAGTGACGTAATTTTAAAACATTCCAATTTTCGTTCAACGTAAACATGTCTGTTATGCTGCAATAACGCATTGCCCGTTCAGTCTGATTTCAAATTTGTGATAGTTATAGCATTTCTCACTATTTGTGTGCAAAGTTAAAACAAAAGAAACAGCTTTATATTCGCGCAACTGTTGAAAGTAAAAGGAATCCATTGCTCTATACCGGTATATATAAAATGACCTTGAGTGTGTAACCAACCAATCACTGCCTAGAGAGGGTGATCCTCAGCATGTTAATTAACAACAAACTAGGGAGCCTTAGGATTTATTCATTTCATCAGTGTTTCATGCTGTGTAACTAGCCAATCACTGCCTAGAGATGGTGGTCCTCAGCATATTAATTTAAAATTGTCATATTTAATAATATATGTTTAAGTACAGTTACTGCTGTGAGCTGACGTCAGCTAAATAAGACAAATAGAGCAAAAAAGTAGAATGTGATAGACTAATATAAATCAGAATGCAGGATGCATTCCTAGCCTCTTATGCCAGTGGGGGTGCTTATTCTAAGGTTATGTCAGCACTGCTTCTTTGAGTGCAGTTTCAGTCTGAATTCTTTATTCTACTAAACTTGTAAATTACTCTTGTAACAAAGGATGCAGTGTTTTTTGTTGCATTATTGAAATTTGCACAAAAAAATTGAAATATTGATAATATTTAACACTTTCATGGGTTTTGTGCATATTATATATTCTTAAGCTTTTTCTAGCTGTAGCAAGATTTCTTTTCAATATAAAAATATTGTAACATATCACTTTATTATTTATGTATTTATTTAAACTTTTCAATTTTTAGTACATAACTTTAAAAAACAATTGACATACACTAAAATACTACATGTGCAATACGATTTTTGTGATAAATATCAATTAACATAAATTAAAAAGTACATTGAATCATTGGATATGCAGATAAGTCAATTTGCATAACAATTTTACAGTTTATAAAAATAGAGAGTAAAAATCTACCATGTAATCAGAATTCTGACATGTTGATAAGGTTTATATGATAGAGGGAGCTGTTCTCAGTAATTAAGTTGTATGTTATTTTCAAATGACATTTCTGTAAATGTACATTTTAAGAGTTTGTATCAGGACTCATTCTTACCATTTTTTGTGATAGTTTTGTAGCTCACCAGTTAGTTCTCTGATCAACTTCACTGATTTTCTGTTAATTGTACATAAAACCGGAGATAAATTGTAACTTCCATCGTCTTACAGAAAAAATAAGTTAAAAGATTACTCTGTATGTTTTGATACACATGAATCAAGTTGATGATTTTTTGATAATTTCTTGCAACCGGCTGAACTCAATCTATCAGACGTTAGTTTTTTTTTCACATCTGATTCAAGTGCTGTTTTGAGAGTTATATGTCTGACATTCCTCGACCAATTTTCACACATACAACATACGTTATGTTGAAAATATGCACAAATTGTTGTGTTACAATTCAATTCAATAATGCCAAATACCTTCAGTTTTCGTCATCAAAATTAAGCATTTCTACCATTTTAGTTTATGCATAGACAATTATGTTTTCAAACTTGTTACGTGCATTGAAAATAGAACAATAGTTTAGTACATATCATGTTGTGTTTTTGAATTTGGTTCAAAATGACTGGCTGGTGGCTATTTTGATTCAAAAATGCTGTTTCATAGACTATTTCTGACATGCTTTGTTTATCATGGGACATATTTACACATGCACTCCTACATTTATGAGGGGTGATCAATAAGTTCTCGGCCTATCTCATGCTTCATGGTGAGGCCGAGAACTTATTAATCACTCCTCGTATGTTAACTTACACTGAGAACAGACGTGGACTATGTCATGACTTGTTTTATCTTATTTTTATTTTATTTGTTTAATGTCAAGACGACATAAAGTTATGTATACTCACAGGCAATATAAAAAATATTAATGGCATCCTATGCTATTATTTCATCACACAATGGGGGAGAGGCAGTGCCTTTCCCAGAGATGTTATGTATGGCAATATAATATCAATATGAAAAAAATGCATACTTCAGTGAAGACTGACCATAAAATATTTCTAAGATGTGCAATACGTTAACCAAATATGTTGAACTGAAAATTGTTTTTGATTTGAATTCATACACCTGCCAATAGAGGGCAGTATATATTAATTTGAGGACTGCAGTCACAGCTTGTATCTACCTCTACTGTTATTATTCTGAATCAAGTGCTTTGATGCACACTATGATATCTTGCATAAGCATTTTTAAATTCTAGACTATTTTAATCTTACATGCAGTTTATGCACTATTTATTTATTTTATTCAAATGAGAATATTTATTAGGCATGTTATTTATTGCACTCAATAAATTAAGTTTAAAAAAACTGTTTTGTAATAGATCATTTTTCTCTGGAAATTAACATACATAAAAAAAATACACCGGAAAAAGATGTCACAAATCCGGATAAGTTTCTCATTATTTATTAAAATCGCATAATATACCCCTTTCATAAGTCTAGCGCCCTCAAACACTTCCTGTTTCAGAGAGAGGCCAGTAGGTATAGAAATTTCACTGTCTCTCTTCCAAATTTCTCAGATGACATCATTTATTGAAATTCGGGGGCGCTGGAAGCAATGTCAAATATGTTACCATCTTGGGAGGCTAAGCATTTCTCTGACAGCCTCTCACTGATATTACGTCATTTCCCATGATAGTGTGTGTCTTGCGTGATATTTTTTCGATGGTCGCCTTCATGTTACCGATTTACTGATGAATGAAATGGTGACAACTCGACCCTTAGTTTAACGTCCCATTTTATGTGACTTTAGCTTTGGGTAGGGTTAATTCACCCATGCAATTGTCTCTAAAATAATTTTCCAGTTGGATCGTCTTTATGAGGTTATATTTAAACAAAAAATCACAGCTATTGGCCCTTCTAAAATGTGCATATTGATTTCGAAAAAACATTATTCATTTTGACAAACTATTACCCAATACATTATATGTCATAGTCTCAGAGATTGTGATTCGAAACTTTATTCTCATCTAGTGAAATCAATTTTGTATCTGGTTTCCAAGCATGCCATTTGCATATATTTTGTGACAAACATTTCTGCACTTGGACTTCAGACATGTTTTAATTTTGAGAAAATGCTAATATATTTGTACGAAACCTAAGCTTGCGATGTTTGTGTTTTAATTGATGGCTTCTTTGTCAATTAATAAAGTTTTGTCTCGCACATTAAAACACATTTTTTTGCTCAATTCGTACAAAGTCCGAAAACGGGGACTTATAATTCGGTCTCCGTGCGTCCGTCCGGAGTCATATCTCAGAATCCCTTGGACCGATTCCGTTCATTCTTTGCATGTGCCTAGTACCTTATGTGGGACATATGCACACGCAGTGGCTTAGCGATTCGATTCAAAATGGCCGACTGGCAGCTATCTTGTGTTTTCAAAATGTTGTATTTTGGACATGCTTTGTCAGTTGTCATTCAAACTTGGTACATAGATTATAAATGTTAGGATACATGTCCATGACGATTTATTTCGCAAGTGGATCAAAGATAGTCGACTGGCAGGCATTTTTTTTTTGTTATGCCGTATCTTGGATGTGCTCTGTCAGTTTTCATTCAAATTTGGCACATACATGTACTTTATACATGTTAGGATGTATGTCCATAATTTGTTTCAAAATCTGGTCAAGGATGGCCGATTGACAGCCATCTGACTTTCTGGCCTTACTACTATTTTCCCACAATTTATGTACCATTTTCGTTCGTATTTAGCACATACATCATACATATCAGTGTGTTTCATAATCAGATCAAAGATGGTCGAATAACGGCTGTTTATATTTTTGGCCATATTACTACTACACGGAACACGTGTTTTGATGTAAATAAACAATCTGTTGTATACGCCACTTGGAACTCAAGTTTCAAGGACACGCTCGCGACAACCCCTCCGCTTTAATATGACGAGCACAAAGAGAACTTTCAAAAATTTTACAGGGACTGTATGATTTTCAATAACTTGTTTTATTTAAATTTTTATGTTGCTCCAAACATTGATAATTGATAATCAATGATCAAAAAAA